TTACATTTAAATCCACAAATATTTCAAAACATTGAAGAAAATACAGTTGTATCGATCCTATGGCACCAAACCATAGGACAGAGCTTTCCAAACTGTGTGTCACAACATATTAGTGTGTCAGCTGCATTGTGTAGGTGTGTCACATAAATGCTCCGGCTAGTTTAACCTCCAGTTTGCTAGTACAGTGGTACCTCGGGTTACATATGCTTCAGGTTACATATGCTTCAGGTTACAGACTCCGCTAACCCAGAAATAGTACCCTGGGTTAAGAACTTTGCTTCAGGATGAGAACAGAAAATGCACGGCGGCACCGCAGCAGCAGCAGCAGCGGGAGGCCCCATTAGCTAAAGTGGTGCTTCAGGTTAAGAACATTTTCAGGTTAAGAACGGAATGAATTAAGTTCTAAACCTGAGGTACCACTGTAAAACTGAATTACTGTGTTGCAAAATGATGCATGTCTAAAAAGTGAGTCACCAACAGGAAAAGTTGGGAAAGCTCTGCCATAGGATCTGCACCAAACTTTGCTAATTAAATTATAATACCTTCCAATTTGATTACTTGAGAGGCAAGGCTTGATAACAGGAAACAAATGAACCCCTTAAATCCAAACCAACCTCCTATAGGATGCTTATTTGTTTTTGAAACAGCCTGATTCCTGCACATGTGGTAATACTTGGTATATTTATCATCTTCTCAAGAGGACAGAAAGCCCTTTCAAGCGATCTTAATGAGTTTACACCCTAGTCCAGTTATCTAGATTTGATGGTACAGTGGTACCTTAAGAACTTAATTCGTTCTGGAGGTCCGTTCTTAACATAGCTGTCAACCGTCTCTTATTTGGCGGGAAACTCCCTTATCCCAGCGCCGTTTCCCGCTGCTGTCCCGGATTGATGATATCCCATAAATTTCCTGGGTTTCGGTACTTCCGGGTTGACGCGATCTGGAAATGGCGGATTCCCTCCGAGCTCCGGAGGGAATCGGCTCCACTGAGGATGGGTCTTTGCCGCGCCGGCGACGCGGGGACCCTTAAAACCGCAGGCGCTGAAGCCTGCGGACTGAAGACTCGGCGGGTGCCTTAAGCGCCCCCCCTGATTCGCAAAGAGCCTTTTTAAAGGCTGCGGAGGGGATACGGGGGTGGCGTGGCACTGAGAGTCGATCGCTACCTCGGTGGAGCGAAGCCGCGAGCCATGACCGGAGAGCGTTGACTTCCTTCCTTGAAAATTTGGACTGAAAGAATCACCCGTGAGTAAGATGGATTGGGACTTTTGAAAAACTTTACCTTTAATTGGAGACGACCGGGGGGTGTGCTAAAAGGAAGTCCGCACCCCCCCCTTTGCAGACCATCTAAGCAACGACACAAGAGATAAGCTGGAGAGCCTACCCTTGGTGGGGTGAGTTAAAAAGGACACTAACTTTCAAGATTTTACTAAAGGAAAATTTTGTGCAGGAGAGTGGAGTTTTGGGAACCTTCCTTCTGTTTTAAACAACCCCCCCGCCCGGGCTCGGGAACGTCCTGCCTTCGTGCCTGCGTTAGAGCTGCGGAGTTTGACAGCTGTCAAAGCTGCCAAACGGGCGGTTTAAAGTGAGAAATTGCCATTTAAGATTTTTATGGACTAAGACGAGTTATAATTGAGCTGAAACTGTTGGAAACAAAGTAATAATAATCAGTTTAAGGATTGTTGGTGAAAAGGCAAATAAGTAACCAGATTCCCCCTAGGGGGAATTCTGTGAAACTACAATGGATACAATGGCTGTGGAAGGAAAGTTACTAGTGGAAATCGAAAGGATGTTTCAATTGGTGGGAATCTTACAGGAGCAGAGTTTGGCCATGAACAAACAACTTGAGACTATGACCTTGGGAACAGGCAACTCTGCTCTTTGTATTGAGGACCTCAATGAGAAAGAATCCACAGCTGATTGGGAAACAATATCTACAGAGCTGGAAGAGACTAAACAACAAGAAAAAGAAGAAGTAATCCTGGGAAGTAACAACCAAAAGTTGACATCTGTGGAATACAAGCAAGGAGACGCTGGGAACATATTCACCACAAGTCTGCGAGAGATACAGAAGAAGAAGGAGGAGGCCCCAAGACAAAATGGAGTACAGGAATTTAAAATAAAGAAATATGATTGGGGCCTCCGTTTGGACTTAGACTTGGAAGAGATAGACTTTGTGGAAATACTTCAGCAGCCACCTTTGAATCTTCTTGTTGGAAGAGGACATATTTTGATGGTGAAAGAACTTTTCCCAGATCTGACGACTGCTGTAAAGGACTACCAACAGGACAGGCGGAGAGGAACGGAAATAGATTTGAAAGCCTCGGACGTGAGGAACCCAGGCTGAGAACTTCGAATTTGGATTTTTATTGGGAAGGGACAAAAACCGGGGATGGGAGGGAGGGAAGAAGAGACTCTTAAAAACTCTTAAGACTTTTAGGTTTGGTTAAGATGACTCTTAATTAAGATAAAATGAAAATCGATGGAAGAGAACTTAAGTCCAACTTATGAAAACTAATTTTTATTATAAAAAAAAGGAAATAAGATGAACAAGATTGTTAAGAGGAGAAATATCAATTTGCTGACATAATCTTGAAACAGGGATGCATTAGGGGGGGTGGGGGGAAGTCAGGGAACAAGGTTATGAAATGGGGATTTGCTGACTTTATATATGTTTTTGTCTTTGTTTTTTCTTTGTGTATGTTTTGTCTTTATAAAAGCAGAAAACCAAATAAAAATTTTATTAAAAAAAAAAAAAATAAAAAATAAATTTCCTGGGTTTCAAAGGAAGCAGCTCCTCTCCCTCCCTCCCTGCCGGCCAGCGGAGAGGTGACGGTGGTTTTCCTTGCTGCATCCCCTTTGCCGGGTTGCTGCGCTGTGGGAACCACCGCTTGAGGCTTCGTTTGACTGCTGGTTGACTAAAATCCCTTATTTTGGCTGCTGATCCCTTATTTTTGAGGCTGCTGGTCCCTTATTTTCAAATCTGTAAGTTGACAGCTATGGTTCTTAACCTGGAACTGTTCTTAACCTGAGGTACTTTAGCTAATGGGGCCTCCCGCTGCCACCACACCGCTGGAGCACGATTTCTGTTCTCATCCTGAAGCAAAGTTCTTAACCCGAGGTACTATTTCTGGGTTAGCGGAGTCTGTAACCTGAAGCGTCTGTAACCTGAAGCATCTGTAACCCGAGGTATCACTGTATGAGGAATTATATCTTCTCAAAATAGCTTGTCAGCACTCATAATTTTTAATTAAAGGTCAAAATGAGACCCAGCAATACATTAAAAATTAAAAAGCAGTAGTTTGCATATTTTAACTTACTGCATAAAAAGCAGGTGCTGTAATTCAGTTGTAAATAAAGTCCTCTTCAAGCATTCAGTCAGTGAAGAGGGCAGCAGGGTCACACATGCAAGCCTGGCCTCTAACATCCTTCTCCCACAGAAACCTTCATCGGAAAGTGCTTAGAAGCCTCCTTCAGAGTATGGTGAGGCTGAATCAGTGCCGTTTGGTGCTGCTACTCCAGAGCAGGTGCAAATGGACTGGTGATGCAGTAACACATATCTCAAAAATCAGTGTGGCTTATAACAGCACAGAACACAGCGTATGTCAGGGTGAAAGCACCTTGCATACAAGTAAGCTGCAATGCAATGTGAACTGCAGGGGCTGGTTGCACAAGCTCTTCCAGACATAGCCTTAACTTTGGAAACTTCACCAACACCTTCCAGATAAACTGAGATGACTGTTCAGCTACTAAATTGTGACATTTTAAAGATTTGCCCAAAGTTGTTCAGCTTTTAAAAAAGAAGTTTTTGGGTTGCCATACACCCAGATTTTCTTTCCTGATCCAAGTCCAACACTTTATCCGTTACTATACCACACTTGATCTTTTGTCTGCAAAAGGCTGCCAACAGTATTTAAAAATGCACATTTGCTATGTCTGAGAGTTAAAACCCACTGCATTCAATAAGGCTTACTTTCATGAGGATTGCAGCCTAAAACACTGTAATCCTGTGACTTCAATAATCCTGGCTGCAATCCAATGCACGCTTACTTAGAAGGTACTTTGAACTTAATGGGGCTTGCATAGGAATACAGTGTTAACAGAGATGTAGGTCACTGAAAAAAATCATATATTTAGCATTATAGCTATATTTAGCATAGCATTATGTATCCCATTAAGTCGCTGTACAAAATTTAAGTCTCTCTCTAATACCACTTGGGTTTACTCAGGAAAGCATCCCAGATTATCCAAACTGCTTTACTGTGCGATGAGTTTTCTCACTCTTGCCTACAAAAGTTCATGTTAGAAAGCTATATGATAACGTGTCAGACCACATGTGCCTGAAGGCAGAGGGCTTCCCTGAAAAATCCTGGGAAGCGAGGAAGTCACTTAACAAAGTTATTAAATGTAATTTTCAATAAGGCTATGATTTATGTTTGTTTGTCTTATGTGTTTGTTTGTTTGTTTGTTTGTTTGTTTGTTTGTAATATTGTGAAAACTAATAAATTTTTTTGGAAAAAAAGAAAAAAAATCCTGGGAAGTGTAGCTCGGTAAACTACACATGCAAGGTGCCCTTCACGTGTTTGGTGCCCACCAGGACCGAATTGAAGGCCGCCAAAGAAACAGTGGAATGACTTCATTCCTCCCATTGCTTTCAGCGAGAACAAGCGGCCGTCTGAAGATAGCGCCAAGGAAGAGAGGGAGGAGATGGCGATGGGGGCAACCGCGAGGCCGGGTGCGGAACAAGCCAGCGTCAGGGTCCCCGCGCGGGCCGGCGGGGTTGCGCGGAGGGCGCCGGCGGGCCGAGGCAGCGGCGGGCCGAGGCAGCTGCGGCCCAGGCCCTCCCTGGCCGGGCATTGTGACGCGCGCGGGCGCCGACTGTGCTGCTGCGCAGCCGGGGGCGGCGTGCGCCAGGGCCCGAGGCCACATCGGCCATGAGGCGGCACCAGCAGCGGCGTCGGCCGCGGCGCGGGTCGGGCCAGTACCTCGGGGCGGAGCCCGGGTGGCGCGTCTCCCCGAGCGACCGAGGCGCGCCCAGCGCCAGCAAGGGCCGCAAGAAGGCGCCCGCCACGTCGTGCTGCAGCTTGTCGGGCGCCGAGACCCCGCGCAGGATGGCGCGGCGACGCAGCAGCCCCGGCCGCTTCTCCCCGCCGCGGCCCTTCCCGGACGCCTACAGCTCGGAGCCCGAGGTGGCGGGCGGCGAGGGCGGCCTGCGGCGACACCTCCTGGCGCAAGCGTACCGCGACGAGGGAGGCCTGCTGCTGCCCCCGCCGCGCAAGGGCAAGGGCTGCTCGACGGCGCCGCGCGGCAAGCGGCCCGCCGCGTCTGCCTCTTGCGCGTCCCCTCTGCGCCTGTCCGCTTGGCAGCAGCAACACCTGGCGCCGGCGGGCGAAGGCTGCGCCACGCCGTGCACCACCTCGTGCACCACGCTCTACGGCGGGGACTTCCCGGGGCACCCCGATCTCCCCGCGCGCTCCCCGGTGGGCAGGTGCACCCGCGTGGAGGAGCTGCTCCGCGACGACCAGTGGGCCAGCCCGGTGCCTCGACCCTTGGAGTATGGCACGGATCTCCCCACCGACGCCAGCAAGCCTCCCTCCATCTGCCCCTCTTCCTTCTCCTTCGCCCAGTTCGACAGCAAGGCCTCCCCTCGCCTGGAGAAGGAGCCCCCCCGGAGAGACTGGCAGGAGCCCTGTGACAGCAGCCACAGCCTGGCAGACCTCATGCACAGTTTGGCCAGGCCCTATGAGGACGAGGAGCCTCAGGCCTACCTGCCCCGCGACCCCAGCGCCCACCTGCACCAGCGTCTCCTGGGCCGCAAGCCCCGCCGCAAGCCCCGCAAGGGAGACCCGCAGGTCAGCCTGCAGGACCTGACGGACAAAAGGTACGAGGACCTGATCCCCGCAAGGGACAAGAAGATCGCGGCCCTCATGCTCGCCAGGCACCAGGAGGAGGAAGAGATGAAGGACCGCCAGCTGCAGGTTTCCGACGCCTGGGATAAGATGAGGAGGAAGGAGAAGCAGCACAAAGCCCGGGCGGAGAAGGAGAGGCAGTACCAGTTGGTCGACAGCCTGGACCAGTGGCAGAGGGACCGCGATCAACGGAAAGCCAAGCTCAGGCTAGAGGAGCAGCAGCTGTTGGCAGCCCGGGAGAGGGATGTGATGCTTCGCGACAAGAAGTGGAAGAAGCTGGCCAAAGAGCAGGATTGCAGGCGGAGGGAGAAGCTGGAGAATGCTCGGCTTCAGGCCGAGTATCGGAAACGGTGCCAGGAAAAGCAGCTCTGGGACAAAAGGTTAAGCGACAGGCGTACCAAAGAGCAGAACTCCGCTTTGTACAAGGAAAGGATGCTGCAGGCCCTGGAGAAGAGGCTGATCAAGGATATGGAAAGGAAGAGGAGGAAAATAGATATGAATGACTACAAGCAGACCAAGCACATGAGCGCTAAGGACCAGGTGGAAGATCGGGTCAAAGCCGACGAGCTGTACAAGAGGCTGTGTATCGAACAAAAGCTTCAGAGGTCCCAGGAAATCCTGGAGCAGCTGCTTGAAGAAAGGAACAGGGAACTGAAGGAGAAGACTTTAAAGGAAGAAGAGCAGGGCTTGATAGCCAAGGTAAGAGCCAAAGAGACGGAGGAAGAGAAGAGGAGGCGCAAGGAGATGTTGTTGCAGATAGCCGAGATGAAGATCCAGCAGGCCAGAGAAATCATGTCCAAAAATATCCGAGACAGATCGCAGCGCGTGAGAGAGCTGAACTGTATGAAAGAACGGAACCACCATTTTCGCAAACAGAAGCTTGATTATGACGAAAAATGTCACCTACAGGAAATGCAAGAAGCTTTAAGAAGGAAAGCTCAGAAAAGCAATCAGATTCTAAGGCACAAGGACGCAGCTATCGACGAGTCTAGGAGAATAGCCAAAGCATCTTATGACCTTAGAGAAAAAGTGAGAGACCTGATAAATCGCAATTCATTCGACCAGATGGCTTTAGATGCGCAACGTAATGCAAGCCTCCTTAGAGGCCTGTAATGAAGTTTAAGGAAACATTCCAGACTGTGTTGTGTCAAAAAAAGATGGTTGTAATGCGTTCGCTCTGCATTGCTGTACACTAAAGTGATTTGAGCCTTAATTACTGTTTGACTCATAAGTGTTTGGTTTACAAACATTTACTGTTTATACTAAAAATCTATCACTTGCATTTGTGATTTGATCGTGAAGAGAAAGAATTGAACTTTGGCCCTGTGCTACTCTTTATGGGATGTGGCCTTGGCTTAATGCTAGGCACTTTGAACTGAGTATTTTTGTAACAAATTATGATTTTGTAAAATTCTATTTTACAATGAATATCTGAAGTGTTCACAAATTATGGAGTTTACACAGTTTGTGAATGGTTCATGACACATACTTCATTTCAAAGTATGTAGCAGTTCATCATACATCAAGAATAGAATCATATTTAAAGATATTCCAATAATTTATTATCTAAAGAAATACTATTTTTATAGCTAAATAACCTAAGCAGTTGCCTGCAATCTGCATAGTCAACCATTTACACTAGTCCAATTTATTTCGGCTGAGGACATGTCCTTATCACTGTGCACGCACAATCACCGTAGTTTGGCAAACATAATGAATATATTGTTTTAGCATATGGCTATGATGGCTCTGTCAGGTTTGTAATGTAGTGAATTAGAAACTTTTATGAAGGAAACTGCAGGAAGAAACCATGTATAATTTATAAAGTATTCTTAAAATAAAGTTTGATCAGTATATTTCCATATTTTGAAAAGTAGGAATTGTATTACTTTATGATCAATAACAGTGACTAAGTTGGGAATGTGGAGACAATTCTACTGTCATATCCAACTCTGGGCTTGAATTTGCAAGGCAGAAGTGAGAGCGAGGGGAATACCCTACATTTCTATATACATTTTTCTGCTTTAAAAAAAACCCCTCCTCTCTCCCATTGAAAGCAGTGGGGGGGGGGTTTAGTCATGCACAAGAGTATAACTAAATAGCTACCTGGAAACCAGGAGGATTTGGAAACTTAGACCAACCTGCTTCCCAAATCATTCCCCTTTGATCTCCTCCAACCTGGAGCTCTGATGTTGGTTGGGGCACTATTGCGGATGAGGGACGTTCTGATACCAGATTTCTCTGTCTTAACATCAGAGTTATATATGTGACCTATCCTGTGTCCTCTAGGATTACCTTCCAGGAAACTCTCATTACATCATTCATATTCTGGGTTGATCTGTGATCTGAAACAGATAATAAACAATTAGAAGTATGGTGAATTAATTACCCATCTTAATGTAATTCAAAATTTAATAAGCATGTGTGTTATTTAATAGGTTGGTTGGAGAGAATAAAATGACAGAACTTGAGGAACAATAACTTCACTTCTATTGCCACAAATGCCCAAAACATTCAAGATTCACACATCTGATACTTGACTGAAACGGGGTCAGAGCACTTGGAGCCCAAGGTTTGGACTTGTAACCAGACGGTACAACAAACAGGACCACCTGGCTTCCTTTCCTCCTCCATAGAAGTTCTAAAACTGGCCTAGATGCAGACCAAGTGAACCCCACTACCATCACATGACACAATCAGACCCAATCTTGGCCCAATCACTTTTGTCTCCTCCACCCTGGCTGACGTGAATGGCAGGACTGTGGATATGACCCTGGCCCTGCCAGGAGCTGACCAAAGTTTGGATTTCACAGTATATACCTAAGACACTGTGGAAAGTATAAGAACTGGTGTATCACTGAAATAAATGTTCTCCACTTGGGTGCTGCAATCTTACTGCCACCACATTTTAATCTTAGAAAAGTTGCTATGCTTATATTTGGATATAGGAAAGGCTACTTTTTGCATAACACATAGCTCACAATATTTCTTTTGAGGGGAGTAGATGCTTCTTTCCAGAAAATTAAGATTCCTCACCAGAATGTAGCACTTCTAAAATGGACCAGAGGAGGGCACTAAAGAGTTGCACAATGATTTCTCATCTGGAAAGAGCTGTTAAAATAGATTTTGGAGCTGAAATCATTTTATTGGCCTTATCATGTATACATGACAAGTGCAAACCTCTCATTCAGAAGCAAGTCCCAACTCATTTAATGGGGCATACTCTAAAGCAGTGCTTTTTTCTGGGGGGACGCAGGGGGACGCATACCATACCCCTAAACATTCTGTGAATCTAAGTTTGGCCTCATTGAGGGGCAGGGTTTCAATATGAGTAGGAAAATGAGAGTACCCCTAAACATTTTTTTTGGGGGGGGAGGAAGTACTACTATAAAGTATCCTTATGGGCCCAGTCCAATCAAGGTAAATTTGAAAATCCCATTGATCCTAATTGAAGAGTTAAGCAAATGTTTGACTGTTATCTGTTGGAATCAATGGGAAGTCTCTTGTATATTTGTTAAATTTGTATCTTGCCTTTCCACCAGATGGTGCTCATTTAACTGCTCAGATGATGCCCTATCTGCTGTAAATGCTGGATCCATTGTTCTCTATCAGCTACTATAGCCTTCCCCTGCATATCGAGGGAGTCTGTCTGTCTGTCTGTCATTAAAGGCCAGTTAACAGTTACTAGACCTCCAATAACCTATTAGAGGCAGAGAGAGAGAGGATATTCTGTTTGTGTCACAGAGTACTTTTAGAGGTCACTTGCTCATTTCTGCTTTTAAATGGTTCCTGCTATCAACTGTCATTACATCAGATTTGACCTGAAATAAAGTTACAAGAGGTGAAATGTGCAGGCATCTCATCTCTTCAAGAACTTCCCCAGCAATTTCAAGATTCTATATGAAATCTCTTGAGTGAAATTGGGGGCACAGGGACTGTTGTCATCTGTCTGTTGATGATAGTGCTTTTTCATCATCTGTTTATCTAAGGGCAATGGTATTGGCTGTGAACTTGCATCTCTACACTATAATGAATGGGTGGTGGTGATGATGGGTGGGCTGTTTGATGTATGGAAGATGGGATTGGCTGTTATAGATTGGGATGAGGGAAAGCCACACTCCCTCAGAGCTTGTGTTTGCCACAGTCCTCGCTTGAGTTGACTACTGTAATGTGCACTATGTGAGACGCCCCTTGAACACTGTCCAGAAGCTTCAGTTGATCCTGCACCAGGTTGCTTGCCTTGCCAATATTATATACTCAGAGAGTATATAATAGTGGTCTCCCAGTGCCAAAGTAGATATCTTAAATATGGGTATGTGGTTTATATATATATATAAACTATGATTTACAATGGAAGACGAGAGGCAGAGGGTCGCTGAATTTTTGTGCCAAACAGGGCACTGCTGAAATTTGAGACCCCAAGATCCATCACTGACCCCCAGTGACAGCAGACTGACTTAGCACAAACCTGTGTTAGTGACCTAATAGAACACCAGGAAATGGTCTCCCTCCAATCTGCCTGCAGTCAGAATTCTTTTTGCAAAAATGTGGAAATCAGCTTGTACTCTGCCTATTAAAGAAAGGATAAAAAAAACCTATGGGAAAACATTGCTATGGTTAAATTGAAGAATTGAATCAGATTTAAAGAAAAAACCAAAGGTATGTCACAATAATAGTGCATGACTTGTTGGATTGTGCTTGGATTGACTTGTTGGATTCTAGTGATTCTACTTATTCCACTGGGCTCCTTTGGGAGGATGAACAAGGAATTATTATTATTCAGATAACTCGTATCAGGTCCAGTGAGCATGGCCAATAGTAAGGGATGATGGGACTTGTAGTCCACAATGTCTAGAGGGCAATGTGTTGTCCACCCCTGGCTTAAGAAAGGTTTGTGTGCATTGGCTGTTTCTTTCCCCTCACTCCTCTCAACCTAATCATTCCTAAATACACAAATTGTAAAAAATTAAAAACCAAAACAACAAAAATCTGTAAGAGTCTCGTGATCTCTCTTTCAAAGAACGCAGAACCTACCATTGCTCAGGAAATGTGGAGAAAAAAATGTGTCATATTTATGTGAAGATATGGCATCAAAATGTTTTCAGGGGGAGGCCTTATTTGATTTTGAGCTATAGCAGGACTAGAAACGAGTGTTACCTTTATATTTGCTTAACACCAATGTACTAGTTTACAAATGATCCCTTTGATCACTTTTTATTTTCTGTTGCTTGCTCATGGTATTCCTACAGAAAAGTTTATTAAGAGAGTAATGAAACCAATATCCCTTATTTATCCCTTGGATTCTCTTCCAATAAATTATATTGTGGAATTGTGAAGACATTGCTTCCCAACATTTCTCTGTCCCGTTCCCCACTCTGAAGCCACTTTGTGTAAATTTAGAATATGATGTTTCCAACTTGGTTTTCTTTATTACCATGCAGACGATATTCAACTATTCTTCCCCTCACCAAAAAAGAAGTCTGGGGAACCAGTGTTTTTTTCCTCCCAGGCTTTCTTCTTAACTTAAAAAAAACAAACCCACCTCCCACAAGCTGAAGTCTGTTTTGCGTTGTTAGGCCAAGCCATCGTCTGATGGTGATGTAATGGAGAAGATCCACGATGACTGGCTGCAGCCAAACTGGTCATGTTTTGTCCACACATGGCAGAGCAGTCGGTGTACAACACTCACACTGAAGCTAAATCTGTCCTTACAAAAGACGGCTAAAGAAAAAGCATTCACAGCCTAACAAAGCACCAGCCGAGCATGAAAGCAAAGGAAATCTTGCATTCAGTAGAGAGACAGTTGCCAGCTCTTTCAGTTAAAGGCTGGCGACTATGCCATGTGGTAACAGGAGGCGACAATTTTTTTCTGCTCCTTGTGATATGCAAGCTGGATCTTCAGGTGGAAGACAGACAAAGATAGCTGAGTGAAACACTTCCGTGATACGTCGTTTGGCTGCTGAAACCCTCAGAAAATACAGTGGTACCTCGGGTTAAGTACTTAATTCGTTCCGGAGGTCCGTTCTTAACCTGAAACTGTTCTTAACCTGAAGCACCACTTTAGCTAATGGGGTTTCCTGCTGCTGCTGTGCCGCTGCCACCCAATTTCTGTTCTCATCCTGGTTAAAAGGTTTTTTTCTAGTGCTTGTTCCATACTGTTTTAGCAGCTATCAATATATCCCTAACATACGGTTTCACCATGCTGGGTAAATTAACTTCATTAACATGAAACAATTATCATTAAATGCTAGAAATTCAAAGGTTACCAAATTACTTGCAAGATAGTGAAAATGGCCAAGGTTGAATTTGGCTGTGCAGAGTGTGGAGTGGGAGGCCAGCTGTAGTCACACGAGATCATTTCTTTGACCCTTTGGAATGGTAAAATACTCCATATGCCCATAGAGAGTGCTGGAACTTCTGGGTGAGATTTGCTACCTATAAATGAAAATCCTGTAATGAAAGCTGAGTGCTTCATCCCCAACACACAGAGGAGAGCGATCCATCTAATTTCTCTTCCTTACAAATTGCCAGAGGGGTTACTACAGTTCAGGCAGGCTCATTAAAGGCAGTGCCAAACGTGTTGAGAATGGATGGACGAGGATTCAATGAAAAGGAGCCTGAAAGCCTATTCTACACAATCCAATTGTTACTAAGCTCCTACCTAACAAAGGGTTGCATTGTTTGAGGAGTGATTTCTGCCAGGGTGGGAAAAAGCCTTGAAATGTAGTGCCAAATATATTTTAAAAGGGAATATTGTACAGTATATGACCCAATGAACTATGGCTCTCTCTTTCTCATATAGACACATTGGATAATAAAACATGAATGTTTCAGAGAGAGAGAGAGATTCTTCTTTCTAACCTT